TTTTTTTTAAAAAAAAAAGATGGTCATATTTCATTTTTGTCTTTGGTTAAGTGCTATAAAAGTCCATTACCAATTATCATTAAACTTAAAGTTTTCCCAAAACGTGTTACTTTTTTTGCTTATGATTTTCTCATAGCACTATCATTTCGAATATCATGACCGACACAAACAATATTTGCAAAGAACTAAAAAGATGTTGGGCAATTACCTTAGGCATTCCCTAACATGATATTCCTTTTTCTTTCTTACCACCTATCCTAGTATATAAAATTGATCCAAGAAAGTATTGTAAAGTTTGAAAATCATGCCCACTAAAACTCAAAGCATATACATGAGTTTTCATAATAATCCAACCTTGCCTTCTCCTCCCCCGATTCCAGCATATTCCGGTGACTCATTAGAATCACTCCTATTGCCCAAACTGCCGGCACAGTCGATGTCCTCCACCACCATTATCGACCCATTGGCCGTCGACGCCAGTAGCCTCCTCAGATACGAGTTCCCAGGCAGATCCTTCAGCTTAAGATCATACACGTCGAACTTCAAATAGTTGGCAATGGCAGCAATCAGGCTCGATTTCCCAGTCCGCGACGGCCCGTATAGCAAACACCCCATTTTCCATGTCTTGCTCACTTTCTGGTAATGCTCCCTCCTCCCTAGAAACATATCCAGATCCCGCAAAATCATCCCCTTCTGCTCTGGGTCAATGGCCAGCGTGTCGAACGTGGCCGGGACCCACTCGTCGCTCACAATGTCATGATCCACCGTGTGGATCTTAACCGTCTTCTTCTCGAGCTTGTACCTCCTGGCCTCGCACGCGACGTGCAGGAGGTACGAACCCACGACGAGGTCCCTGTTCTTGCGGTGGAACGTGAGCTCGAACGAGCGAGCCTCGGACTTGAGGGTCTCGTTATAGTCGCGCGGGTGGAAGAAGTTCGTCCTGGCCACGGTTTCCCTGCAGATCCAGACCCACTTGAACGTCTGACCCGCGTAGGTGTCGACGAGCTCGTGGTCCTTCTTTGCGGATATTCGGTAGTGCTCGTCCTTCTCACTCCAACCGATCTTTAGGCGGCGGGCGTTTAGGCAGAGTTTTGGACCGAGGTAGGCCTCGGCGGCCTGGTAGATGTCGTTGGGTTCGAGGCCGTCGAACTCGTCGATGAACATGGTGATCTGGTTGGAGAAGACGGAGAGGCAGCGGTAGAGCTGGTTGGGCGAGCCACGCCTAAAATATCATAACTAAGCCAGTGTACGAGGTCCTGCGACGGGGATATAAGACGATGGAACCCAACCGGAACACCAGCAGCTAACTCAGCCAGCTTATCGGCCGCGAAATTTCCTTCTCGATATATATGGGACAAACGAACACACCACTCGCGTCTAAGTAACTCCCGAATAGCCTGAACAATAGACTCATTGATACTAAGATTCTCTTCATTTCTTTACACCAAGGCGACCACACTACTATTATCTACTTCGACTAGTACGTGCCATTCACCCAGATCCCACGCCAAACGAAGGCCATGGTAAAGACCCCATAATTCCGCTCCAGTGATGGTGCAAAATCCCACATTCATAAGAAAGTGTGCGAGTCCTCGTTGGGTGATTTTTTTGTGTGAGATTCTATAGGCTTTAGTTCTATGGAGGGTGTGTGTGGTTGAACAAATTGGAGAAGTTTGGGAAAACTTATTTAACCCACATTTGTTCATATTGTTGGTAAAATATCATGAATCGACTTCTAATCACATCGATTAGATTGATGCTTAGCTCGGTGGTCGTCAAATTTAGGTTATCGATCGACAGTTCTATGGCATGGTGTGGGTTTATTATGGTTTGGCTCTCTCACCTTCGCACTAACTCAACTCGGGTTGGCGTTTCAACATGTTGAGTTTGGGAGAAAAATGTCGAACAACACGATCGAGATATAATATGTATTGTGGGCTTTTACGAAAAAGAAAAAATACACACAAATTGACTCTTGAATCTTGATATTTGTTGATAATATAAACCCGATTATATGGAGTACCCATTTGTGCACCCTATTTACCAACCATATACACTGAGACAATTTTTTTAATCGAACTTCAATAAAATATTTCACCTTCGTTTAATAAAGTTTTATATTTGCAAAACTATAAGCACATTTTTTATTTAAAAAAAATAAAGAGTTAAAACCACTCAATCTGAGTTATTATCAAATATATCAACTACCAAATCTAAGGGCGTGCATTGATATAAAAGTTTTTATCAAGTCTAACGCATCCCAACTGTATTCAATATTATTAATATAATTAAATAAAATCAGTCAACAATTATTATACATCACATTAACTTTAATTCATTATCCATTCACTCTCATAATATTAATTAATCATCACTTCGCATCATTTATCTCATACCTTTAAAGTAAATTAACTTTAATTATATTTTTTAAATTTATTTTATATAAACTCAAAATCCCACTAACAACTAACTATACTATCTTTGTCCAAAGTAAGCCTCATAACCAAAAAAAAAATCATTTTGAACGGATTTTCTTTATCCAAGCATATGCCCTAAATATACCTAGTACGGGTGGACAAAGCAATTAAAGAAAAGAAAAGAAATAGTAAAAAAGGCAATTCATCTTGCACACTATTACACATTTGTTGTGCAACTGCATGAATGGACGAATTTTCCCTTAAATGCATATAGGCCCTCGTGAGTTCGACTCAACTCGACTTGTTAGTACTCAAGTTCGGCTCACCTCGTTAGATAAAGGAGTTGAGCTTGAGCTCATTTAAAGCTCGTTCAGTTAACGAGTCGATTTCAACCCAATAAGACTCAAGTACATGATTTTTATGTACTTTTTTATAGTTCAGCTCGATTTTAGTTTGTTAAGTTAACGAGCCGAGGGCTCGGGCTCGGGCTCGGGCTCGAGCTCATGCAACTAGTTGTATAATAGCATTATATTTTAAAATTTGAACATTAGAAAACATAAACAATACAAAACTAGTTAATTGCATATAAATATGAATAAAATATAATAAATGATGTAATTCTTATAATATATATATAATTATTGGCAAACTTCATTTAATTTTATTCAGCCTTCATTTAATAAAAATATGTTGCATTTAGTCACTGTTCTAAAAATCGGCCTAGGCGGCCGCCTAGGCGGCGCCTAGGCGCTAGGCGGTGCCCGGGCGCCTCCGATTTGCACAAATCGGCATAAAAAATCGGTGAGGCGGCTAGGCGGCGCCTAGGCGGCCCTAGGCGCTCCTAGGCGCCCTTGGCGGGCGCGGCGGCCAGACGGTTAGGCGGCGCCTAGGCGGGAATAGGCGGACCTTGGCGCTCCTAGGCGGGCTAGGCGGCAATTTTTCAGTTTTTTTTTTTAATTTTTTTAAATTTTTTAAATATTAATTACATTATATTATTCTCATGTTTTCTTTAAAATATATTAATTTTATTATTTGGACTTAGGTGTATCGATTTATTATAAGTTGAGATAGTTTCATTTTGTAGGTAGTCAAACTAAATAAAAAATAAGGTATTTTATATTGATTTCTAGGCCCCGACTAGGCACCGCCTAGGCCCCGCCTAGGCGCTCTAGGCGCTAGGCGCTGGTCGAGCGCCTAGCGGGCGCCTAGCGACTTTTAGAACACTGCATTTAGTAAAAATAAGTTATATTTAATAAAAATATATTCACCATTTAATAATAATATGGAACTTTCAGTTAAAAAATTTGTTTTGATAGGTCACATTATGGATGGTACTCATTTTCTGTAACGCCTTTTTATATCCTGAAATACAAAATATATTTGTTTTTATTTTGATACAGTATATTTTTTGGTATTATACAAATATATATTTCACAACTAATTAAGAATGACTACAAGTATCTCTATTTTCTATTGCAGTCATACAACATCAAATATTTTTGAAAAATCAAATATCAGATTCACGACTGGAATAGGCTTAACGACAATGATTTGTTGTGATGGGATTCCGACGATCGGAAAATAATAAATGTTGTATATAAATTAAGAAGTATTTAACAATATTTAGATTTACTTTTTTAAATTATTTTTTTCTTATTTATTAAATTATTATTTTTAGTTTATTCTATATTTTTAAATATTTTCTCTTCGATTATATCATTTTTCGTGCAAATGCTCGGGGTAAAACTAGTTTTGAGAAATCATGACTAAATTATCCAGCTGGAATTTAATTTAATTTTAGCATATTCATGTTCTCCTTTGTTTTTCAAGCTTGTTAGTGTTATATTTATAATAATTTGACTATAAATTCTATTAATTTATACACTAATCGATTAAAATTAATTGGAATTTTAACTCAAAAAATTAATTGTTACAACAATTTTGAAAATCCTGATATGAAAAATATATTATACCAGAACCGGTATGACGTTTTAGGAAAAAACATAGTCTAAATCAATAAAAGAACATATGTTTTTTTTTTTTTT